TCCGTGATCCGGTCCGTGATCCGGTCCGTGATCCGGTCCGTGATCCGGTCCATGATCCGATCCAGGTTTTGTCGACACCGATAATAAACCATGTTATAGCCGTAGGAATGACTAACAATGTCAAATTTTATGAGTGGTCTTGTAAGATTCTGCCTGAAGGAGATTCCATTGCAGAGGAAATGAGCACACAAGCTGTTCATTTCACACTATCAATAACAAAGATGACCACTATAAACAACCATGTACTAGCTCCATTCAAACTTAGCTCTGAGAAATTCAAGTCGTGAGATCGACTTGATTTTTATAAATAAGCTTACCTAAACATTCTAAGACCATACTATTGAATATATCGCCATTTCCCAAAATTTCCAAAACCTAAACTACAGACTGAAACTACAGAAAAATGGTGTAAAATTTAAGCGGAACATGAATTGTACTTTTAGGGTTATGTAGTAACATGCAACGCTAAAAAGAAAAAAAAAACGAAAAAAAAAAGGGAAAAAACAGCTTTGAAACCGAAAGAAAGCAAGGTGGCAGAACACCTATTTAATCTTCACCTGAAGTCTGAACTAAAAATAACGCTTAATGTGAGCTAAAGACGTCTTAGGAAGCCATTAGCCAGTATTTAAGCAGAGATATATTTAATTAAATCGTATTTTGAACCTATCATCAGCGGCAATCTATAAATAGCATGCCGTTTCGTGCAGAGGGTGACAAAAAAGGCACGCATTTGTTGAAAGCAGCAGCAAAAAATTTTCAAATTTACTCCCCAGACTGTCTTGTATACCCGTGTTCTGTTTGTAGCACTTATGGCAGCTTTCGAAATCTAATAAGGTCAAAATGTTTGCTCTCGTATCGGCCGTACGTAACCAATTTACGCTTACCTTCGTTCCCTTTCGTCAAATGCACAACAACTAACCGCGACTTGTCTACCCCTCTGCTAAGTTCGTCCCACAGTCTCTTCCTTTCGTCATCACTGGCCCGCCCCTGTTTAAATAAAGATTACCGTGACATTTCTTAGAAGGATTCAGGCGATTTCTGCTTATTTATGCTTGTACTCACGCTCATCTTGCATGGAAGTCTTGATGATGCCAAGTTCCAATTCCTCAAGTGCAAGGTTCAAGGCGCTCGAGAAGGTACTGGAACGCACTCCTTTCCAAGCTTCCCGCAGTCTTCAACTGCATGTCAAGCTTCTCAATGAAAAGAAGGAAACGTGTCACGCAGTATCTGGTAACGTGTCGGCACGGGATATCGCAGAGCACAACAATACAACGTCCTTGTTTAAGAGTTTATTCTGGCAGGAGAATGGGGGATGAAGGGAACGTTTCAATACAAAAAAAACTCAATGCCAAAAATGCAGTTACCCATTTGATACTAAAGCATTCAATTACATGTAACTGTTTAGACCACTGCATCTTCCACAAAACATGGTTGCGATAATTGTTTCTTTATTAGCAAAATTAGTAATATAGCCTTGAATTAAATTTATAGATAGTTTTATTTGCGCTCCCAAATATTTGCACCATAATGGAAGCAAATTGATTTGATGAAATATAGTGACTTTTTCAAGGACATTGTTTATGACAAGACAATCATCGGAACAACACAAATAATGATAATAGGAATTAAAGAACATCTGCCATACCCAGCAACATAAAATAGCAAAGGGTTTGATTTTGGCAAAGAAATGGCCTCCAAAAGCTGTAAAAGAAAGACCGAAAGAATGATTTTGAGACTTTTGGAAAGTAATGAATTTTGAAAATTGCTCAAACCTCTCCAACTATTCATTCCTGCTCTTGTAACAGATCCTACAATAAGAAAAGAAATTCCTAATCCTAGAGTTGCTCCAGAATCACGAACGAGTGCATAAAATGGTGTTGTGTCAAGATGAACATAAGACGGATTGACACACCACTTCTGAGCCTTGGTAACTGATATTGAAGGATCATAAATAAGTACTGAAAGGATGAAATGAGATGCCAAGGTTGATACAACTAACACTATGGAACAAATTGTACAGTAAAAAACAGATTGGGAGACTTCAAAGAGTGCTGAACTGTGCTTTCTTACAGCAGAGGCCACAAATACTCCGACTACTGTGCCTAGAATGACTTGATGAGGGAAGTGCGTAGCTATAAACACTCTGGACAACGAGACAAGAGAAAGGATTGTAAGGAGTACACTCCAAATTGTTGTAGTTATAATGAATCTGTTAAGAACATGTGCTTGGCGTAACGTTTCCCTTAGTGAGTTCATCAGCCACAGGACTACCAAGCACAGCACAGCAGATGTTACCATAGAATGACCTGATGGGGACCCTGTGGAAGAAAGAATGTAATATGTGTTAAAAGTAAGCAAGCAAAGATTTGGATGCTACCCTTGTCTAACCTCCTTGCCAGCCATTTTGGGGTTGTCACACAATGCTCCCTCCCCAGCAAAAGTAGTTGTTGCTGGGGAAGGGAGGCTGCGTGACAACACAAATATGGCTCCGAAGGAGACTAACCTTGATCACAGTAAATTTTAGATTGGCTGTGTGTACCAGCTTTTTATTGGATAAGTCTATGGCATGGGTCAAGTAAGCAATATCTACCCCAATTACAAGTAAGGTATAAAGAAAAACTAAGAATAAAATAACCGGTAGTTAAACAGAAAAAACTTGTAAGGTTTGCAAGGTTAAATATACACTTCTAAATCAACAGTTTTAAATTCCAATTCGATCTGGAAACGGTGGATGAAGAGCCACTTCGTAGAACTACCACCGCAAATTCCATTATTATTATTATTATTATTATTATTATTATTATTATTATTTTATTTTATTTTATTTTTTTATTATTATTATTATTATTATGATCATATGCAAATTAATTAACTTGCCTGGTCCTGTTTCACAAGTCAACTCAAACTGTTCAAGGGTCACATTTTTCCACTGAGCCGTCTCATGAATCCACCAATATGGCCTATCACCTCTTAGGATCCTATCAAAACAATTTTCATCTTCAATCACCATACATGTAGATCAAGTTTATTTTTTGCATAAAAAAATGCACTTCTTTCATGCTGCTTCCCCTACAACTCATTAAAACAGCTGGGTACATTTTTCCTCACTAAAAAACAAACCTTTTTCAATCAAAGCCTTTTTTTCCCACTTACCATTTCAGAACAAGATTTATCCACTCAGAGATAATGGCTGTCCACAACACACTCACTCCTAAATTGTGATTTAAATGGTACACGACTGGAAAATAGATCAGAAAGGAGTTCCTAGGATCACCAACTTTAGAAAGGAATAGCATTTCACTTTGCCACCCTGCCCAAGACTTTTGTAAATAAATGATAAAATTGATCCCTGAATCAAGAAGAGCCTCCATGTTGTGGGCCGACGGTTAGTGGTGGACTGGGACTGAAAGAGACCGGGGTCAGCGGTCTATACACTTTAGAGGACTGGGGAGAGATTTCAACATGGCGGACAAAATGACCTACTACGAAATTCTTGGAGTTACTCGGGATAGCAGCCTTAAAGAGGTACAATAAAAGCTAAACGTTATATTCACTGGGAGAAATATCAGTTTAGGAAGTGAATTGCTATACGCATTGCTGCTAATTTTGTTCGTCCAGTCTGTGGCGTTTATTCTGCATTGGGGTTTGACCGTACGTTGTTGGGACGTTGTTTCATACGCGCTCCATACGCGCGCCATACGCGGCCCAGAAACATCAGACGTCTCTACTTTTTTGAAAAGTGTCCAGCGAATAAGCCTGTCTAGTCGGTCTTAGGCCCTGTTTTCCACTAGCGACATAAACAGCAAGGCCACGCTAAAGCAAAAATGCTTGCTCATTTGTGTGAACAGCATAGCAGGAACTTATTAATGACATAAGGAAAACACTGAACCTTTGTTTCTTTTCAGTGTTTTTATGTCATTTGGCTTTATTTTAAAATTCCTCTTCGTATTTTGTAGCAAATAAGTTTTGTGTAAAATGCAGCTCTTCATGGGTTAACAAAACTTCTCTTGGGTATTTGTTTGCCTTATAGATTGCAAAAGCTTTCAGGAAAAAGTCCCTGAAATGTCATCCTGATAAAAACCCAGATAACCCGGAAGCAGGTAAATTTAAACAGAATTATTCATACATGTAAAACCCAGCTCTAATATTAAGATCAGACATCCAAGTAATGTTAAGTAATTGTAAGTAACAATGTCAGTAGTGGCGTAAATGATAGCGGAGCTCCGGCGGGCGGAAGCGCTGCTAAGCGGAACCCCATACTCATATAGGAAAGAAAAGGAAACCCATGAGTTGATTTTCTCATGGTTATCATGGATAGCGGTATTGCTCGTGGGCGCGTACGCACGACGGCGACGGCGACGGCG